TCTAAAAGGGTTTTTGAAAACTCGTACCGATTTACCAAAGATCCTAAGGAGGCGACGAAGCAACTTGTTCGAGACACGAAGAGCTTTCCCATAACTCCTCGCGACAGAGCTCGCTTTCTCAGCACTCGATTCAGCACGATTGAACTCCGTAACTAAACCCATAAGCTCATTGAGATCACCGATCACACCGTACACCTCACCGTAGTCAATCCCTCCCTTTCTCCAAGCGTAATTCCACATGTAATCCCACCCAACGGACCACGCTCTCCTCAGAAGCCCTGTCCCTAGCCCACGATCCATCTCCTCAGCCATCGCTCGCACGCGAGACGATCCTAAGGAGTCTCCGCGGGAAGCGCGTAGGTTCGCGACGCGGAGGAGGAGGGATCGCGAGGTTGAGATTAGGGTTTTGTATTGTGAGAAGGAGGAGAATGGGAAGGAGAAGGCGTTGGCGAAAATGGAGGACGGGGATGAGATCGTGAGAAGGAGGAATAGAACGACGGACAGTTTAATCGTCGCCGGTGAAGAGTTTATTATTCCGGCCATCGTTTTCAGTTTTGACTTTTGAAGTCAAGTGTCACCGTCGTCGAGATATGAAAAAGGTAACTTAAGGAAGACGTGGATCTCGTTGACAAGAAAAAAGAAAAAAATCTCGTCCCGGTTTGACTTAATTTTACCGGTTCGATTTAATTACGATCCGGTTCAGAATGATAATATATCACGATGATCCAATACCATACTCTGTTTCCTTTTCTTTTTACAGGGGAGGGAGTTGTGGTTAATGATGAGTCAACCCAAAGTAATAAAACACAGAGTTATCATAAGTAGGGAAGAGAAAAGAGGAAATTGGTGTGTATTATTCTATGAGTAATGTGTTTTTTATATAGGATTATAATAATTTGGGTACAAAATATAATTTGGAGTGCAGAACAAGTAAATATAAATCGGGCCTCGTGGTCTGGTGGTAAAGAAACCTCGGCTGAGGTGCCCGCCATCACGAGTTCGAGCTCCGACCACAGCGGATTTAACATAGTTTCCGTTTGGCCTTCAGGACCCCTTTGGGGGATAGTCGGGTCTCTAAATAAGCCCCGGACACCTGAGTTATCAAAAAAAAAAAAACAAGTAAATATAGGAATTTTCACTTTAGACCTCACACAATATTTATAAGATTTCCATTGATGTCCATTATACCAAAGTGCTTTCAAAATGTCGTAGATGTTGCCGTATTAAAAACTTCACCGAAAAAAATCTAATGAAAAAAACCATGGTTAAGGAAAAAAGAGTGCAGCGCGTAATGACCTCCCCTCATGTAGGCATACGTCAAGATCTTTGAGATGATTTAGTCTGATAAAATAAACAAATTTTTTGAAAGTAGCAGTCGTTAACACTTTGGAAAATAACTCAACAAAATTGTCACTTGAACGAACATGGACATCACCATTCTTCTGCAAGACATGTGTCTTGATATGATTCACATTGATTCTTGCTAAAACTCATGACCTCAAAGGATTTAAAAGGGTGATAAACTTTCATCTTTGAAGTTATAACATCCCTCTTGGATGTCTATAATTTGTGTGTTCTTTGTTGGTTCGTTAAAACTTTGTAAAAAAAAGTCCAGTAGGATAATAACCATGATAATGAAAAAAGTACAACCATACACGTTATCACATTTATTTCACTAGAAACAATATCTTCAGTATATGCATTCCATTCGAATATATCTCTTTTGGAAATTGAGCTTAAACATGTGAATCAAGGATGTCACCATCGTCAAAAATGTCACCATCGTCGAGAGATGAAAAGGTGAATCAAGGAAGACGTGGATCTCGTTGACCCAATAAAAAAAGATTTCGTCCCGGTTTGACTTGATTTTACCGGTTCGATTTAATTACGATCCAAGATACAATACTCCCATCTATTTATTTTGTAGGCTAAATTCTTTGATTTATAATTTTGGCAATGTTTAGAAGAGCTTGGAGAAAGTCAGGATATGAATCATGCATATAGTACATGGGATATATATTTGATCAAACCAAAATAACAAACACAGAGATACATATTTAAACAAACCAAATTAATAAAACACACAGATACATTATTTGATCAAACCAAATAATAAGCACACACACACACATGGGGGGGTCAAAGGTGTGTGTTTCTTACAACAACCCTTGTTTATTTGTTGAACAACATAATAAACGATACAAACAAAGTTATTAAGATTACCATACACCAGAGATATTCTTTGAAACATATAGTTTCACTCTCTAGCTAGGCTGCACTAACCGAAAACCAGAAATGGAGGTTCATAGTTGTTTTGAACGGATAGATCCGTTCTTGAATTTGTACGTCAACACGATATTTACCCTGAGGTATTGAAAAAGAGAAAGAATAGATCATCAGAACACCATGCATACCAGTTGGCTTGTAATTCAGGACAACTATGAAACTCGTCTTTAAGCTGGTGTTAATATAAAGAAAAATGTTAGCCGATGGTTACATCGGTTTATGGTTACATCGGTTTATGGTTACGTCGAGACTTGGGGAGTAAGTTGCATCGAAGATATTGTGATATTGTGATATTAATGAGTAGATGTCGATAAGGAAAGATCTAATGTGTTGTGATCTCATTGTAACAAGTATATATATAGTCTCCACATCGTGAATACAACTCAGAACATTCTCAACTTATTCTTCCTTAGTTTACATGGTATCAGAGCCTCTCTAAAAAAGATCCATCGGAAGAAACGTTGAGAAAAAAAAATCATGTCTAAAGAAATCGTGAAATCTGCAAGTAGCAGTAACATTGGTACAACGTCACCGTACTATCTTCATCCGTCGGATAATCCAGGTGTATCCATCTCACCCGTCTCGTTGACAGGAGAGAGCTATGGCGAGTGGTCATCGGAGTTGGAGAACGCGCTTCGTGCGAAGCGCAAGATCGGTTTCATTAACGGTACTCTGAAGATGCCGAGCGAGACTGAAGAGCCAGTTGAGGCAGAGATGTGGAAGACGGTGAACTCTATGATCGTTGGCTGGATAATGGCGTCAATTTCACCAGCGGTCAGGTCTACCGTGACGTTCACGCCTGATGCGCACAAGATGTGGTGTGATCTGAAAAGGAGATTCTCGGTGGGTAACGCAGTACGCGTGCATCAACTGAGATCGGAGTTATCGGCATGTAAGCAAGGTGGTTCCTCTGTTATTGACTATTTTGGTCGAGTTTCACAGAAGTGGGAGGAGCTACTCAACTACAAGCCACTTCCTATGTGTACGTGTGATGCGTCTGAGAAGATCGTTGCAGATTATGAAGAAGAGAAGGTGCGTACGTTTCTGATGGGACTTGACGATGCGCACTTTGGCAACGTGTGCACTCACATCATCGAAATGGATCCTCTACCTGATCTCGACTCAGTGTATCAGAGAGTGGTAAGGGAAGAGAGACGACTTGAGTTTTCGCGTGTTGAAACACCAAAGCAAGATGCTGTCGGCTTTGTGTCAAAAATAGAAGCTGATGAAAACATAACGATGAGTGGTCTGATTGCAGCAGTGGCTCGCAGTCGTGGAGGATCTGTGGTCTGCTCTCACTGTGGAAGATCTGGTCATGACAAGAAGGATTGTTGGCAAATTGTCGGCTTTCCGGACTGGTGGACAGAGCGCAATCAAGGAAGTGATCGTGATGGTGGTGGTCGTGGCAAAGGAAGAGGTCGCAGTCAGCAGCCTCGCTCTAATGTGGCTCAAGCCGCGACAAGGTCAGAAGTTCCAGGTCTTTCACCAGAGCAGTGGGCATCGTTGATGTCTCTTCTCGAGCAGCAGAAGCGAACACCTATTCCAGAAAATGAATGGTAAGCGTCAAACGGGTGAGGTGATTCTAGACACCGGAGCATATCACCATATGACCGGTGATCTGGGTTTGCTCACCGATACGTGGACATAGTCTATTGCCCTGTTAGCTTCGCCGATGGTAGCCAAGTAAAGGCATCCAAGAGCGGTTTATTACGTCTATCAAACAAGCTTACTTTGAGAAATGTTTTGTTTGTTCCTAACTTGGACTGCACGTTACTGTCGGTTGCTAAACTACTCAAGCAGACTGGTTGTTTCACTGTGTTCACTGACACTCTTTGTGTGTTGCAGGACCGTTTTACGAGGACCCTGATTGGAGCCGGTGAAGAACGAGGTGGAGTTTATGTTATCGGGATGTTACTTTGGCGCGAGGTCTTAGAGTTAAGTCGGGTGAAGACAAGACTTTGTGGCATCGAAGATTGGGACATCCTGCCTTTGGTGTTTTAGGACATTTACCTTTTGTTTCTGGTGTTTTAGACAATAAGAAGAAATTTGGTGGATATGACATCTGTTTCAAGTCCAAACAAACTCGTGGTGTATTTTCTGAAAGTTACAATAAAGCTTCTGTTGCATTTGAATTAATACATGTTGATCTTTGGGGTCCTTACAGAGTGCCATCTTCATGCGGTGTTGTGTACTTCCTTACGATCGTTGACGACTTCTCCAGAGCTGTCGGATACATCTACTTCTTGAGAAATCAGAGGTTAAGACGATCTTACCAAACTTCTGTGTCTTCGTTGAGAGACAGTTTGGGAACTCGGTCAAAAGGTTAGGAGTGATAATGGGACTGAGTTCATGTGTCTGTCGAAGTACTTCTCGGACAACGGTATTGTCCACCAAACGTCGTGTGTGTCTACTCCACAGCAGAATGGTAGGGTCGAACGTAAGCACCGTCACATACTGAATGTCTCGAGATCACTGATGTTTCAAGCCAGCCTTCCCATCAAATTCTGGGGAGAGTGCGTTCTTGCAGCAGCACATGTAATCAATAGAACGCCATCTAGCTTGCTACATGGAAAAACACCGTACGAGTGCCTGTATGGCAAGGCTGCATCGTATGACGATATCAAAGTCTTTGGGTGTCTGTGTTTTGCTCATAAGAATTCTCGTGACAAGGACAAATTCAAAGAGAGAAGCAGAAAGTGCGTCTTCGTGGGATATCCATTTGGTAAATGAGGCTGGAGACTGAATGACTTGAAGAGTCATGAGTTCTTTACATCGCGTGATGTAGTGTTTAATGAGTGTTCATTTCCTTTCGAGACGGAGGCAAACGATGTAACTTCGTCAGTCTACGAGCTCCCGATTATGGATTTGAGGGGAAGTGATGATCTTCCAGTTGAGGAGTTAGGAAGGAGCGATGAAGAGGTTGCAGCTTCTGGGGAATCAGTGACTGAGACAGATGTTGTGACACCAGTTGATGATGTTGAGAGTAATATGATTGCGCAAGAGGAGCAGCTAGGGAGAGGACATCGCATCTCAAAGCTCTCTGTCAAGCTCAGAGATTATGTTACTTACAATGCTCAATGTCTTGATAAACATAACACCACTCTCGTTCCACCATCAACCGCTCCATCAAATTCCTCAACGGTCCAAGGTACGTCGTCTTATCCCATTTCTGCTTATGTCACCGATGTAGTATTCTCTGAGAAACATCAAGTGTTCCTTGCAGCTATATCTTCAGAGAAAAAGCCGTGGAATTTCAAAGAAGCTATGTTAGACCCACAGTTTAGAGAAGCGATGGCA